CTCTTTTCTGTCCTTCTGGCTGCAGGGCTGGGAATTAGAGCTCACAAGTGTCCACTCTTTCTTTTGTATATGAGAAATTTCTCATGGAGAAATGGAAGGTGCTCTGAGGATCTGCCCTGAGCCGGTTGTAGCTCTTTTCTACCACTCCTGGGGAGTGGGGGTGGCTGAGGCTGGCTGGGTTCAGTTCCGGCTCTGGCAGCCAAGCAGCAAAGCCAAAACACAAGTCACAGACCAGCTGGGCCCAGCACCATAGAGATCATCCCTGAAGGTTGCTGGGTGTGCAGACTGGGATGTGGCCTCCCTCTGTGCTCCCTGGCTGTGCTGGCACTATTCCTCGTTTGTGTGTGTCACAGCAGCGGACAGGGGACACCTCAATTCTGTGGGTGGGAGGGGTGTTACTACTTCCCATTTCAGGGCCAGCTCGCCTGGCAGTGCTTGTACAGAACTCGTGGTGTGTGTGGTGCTAAGCCCCGAGTCACATGTGGAGGGGTTTAGCACATAGGGACGATGGGGACATCCCTGCTGCAAGGCTGGCAGGTCTCCCTATGCTGTAGTGCCGAGGCAATCTTATGGGATGAGTTGTCCTGCAGGTCTTGGCTGTGGACAGGGAAGGGCTCCTCCAACTGGGGGCACATAGTCCTGCCCCTGTATTGCTGCTGGGCACATCGCCAGTTTGCCATCACCTCCTGTCTTCAGGCTGCAACTCCAGGGGGAAGGGAGCAGAACACCAGGTGCAGTGACCTCTTTGCTGCTTTTAAGCGTTTCAGAAGTCTCCCATTTCCACTTTTCTTGGCTGTACGTGGGGTTGGTGTCACACAGCCACTAGTTCCAGTGAGCAGTGGTATAGCCATCCCTTCCCCCTCTTTATCTGGAGTGGAGCAGACAGTACCATGCTGCCTGCACTTATCTGTTCCTTAGGGCCAGGTCACCCTCTCTTGCAGCTGTGCTCTGTGAGCTATGCAAAGAGTGAGTGTCTTCTGGTCTGCAGCTGTGTTTCCTGCTCACAAGCTCAAAGCAGGGCAGGGTTATGGTGTGAGCACCTCTGTGTGTACTTGGGCTGCACGGGACTGCTTGCTGGATGTGCTAAATGCACCCCCTCACCTCGCTTTTGACCAGGAGAAGGGAGGCGCAGGGGGAGTCTCCTCCTCTGGTGGCACCGGGGCCATCGACTGCCCCTGTGCCTCCCTTCTCCCAGCCCAGGGATGTCCTGCGGGGGGAGGGATGGAGCCCATTGGGACGAGCATCCCCTCTAAAATGAGTATCGCCGGCCCTACGGCACGCACTGCACAGGGGTGAATCCCTGGGGACCAGCTCCCCAGTCCCTGGTTGATTTTGGCCTCTTGCACCCTGCGAAGGTGCTGCCGTGGGAGGAGGTGACATCATATTTCATAGCCCCCTGCTCAGCGGGTGGTTTTAAGCCCACTCATGTTCGTGGCATCCCGTGGCTGCTGTTCGAGGGAGTGCTTTGCTTTTGTTTCCGTTGTGAATCGCTCTCTGCTCGCCTCATGGATCACCCTGCTAAAGGGTCCCTAAAACCTGCTCTTATTTTTCCCTAGCACCTCCCCACCTGGCTGTTGAGATGCTGTTGCTCCATGTGCTCCCTGCTGGGAGGGTTTTTGGGGAGGGTTTCTGGCAGGCACTGGGGACAGGCAGGTCCCTGTGTCAAGGGCTGTGCTGGGTGACAGGGTGCTGTGACCGTGAGAAGGTTTGGGAGATAACATCAAAGCCAGCTTTTCTCCAGAGGGCAACTTTCTAGAAAAAACCTGGAAGAGGGGTTGGGGTGCTGGCATGTGCCAGGAGACCCCTGCTTGCAGAGACCCCCCTCTGCATCTTGTGGAGAGAGAGGGTGAACACAGTTGGGGCATCGGGCTCGGAGCCTTTTCCAGCACCTCCCGGCCTGCAGTGGGCTCCTGCCAGCACCCCGCTGCCTGCTGGGGTCAGCCCTGAGGCTGGGAGAGGGCAGCCAGAGCGGGGTTGGGCGGGGGGCCCTGCTTCGCACCTCGGCTCTGATCCCAGCTCCCAGCCGGTGCTGCCGTCCCTGCCGGCTCGGTGCCCTGTGGCTCCCCGGGGGGCCCCACTGGCCAGGGCTGGCAGCTGCCGGTGGGCTGGCCCCAGGCCCTGGGCCTGCTGCCAGCACCCTCGGGTCCTAGCTGCGCTCCTGCCGGGGGGTCCTGCCGCAGCTCCCCAGCCACTGGGGTCCCTGCAGCGGCACTGGCCTGTCCCAGGGTCCCCAGGGCCTGTGAAGGCCCATGCCTGTCCCTTGCGGTTGCCTTGCCCTGTGCTAGCTTCTTCCCTGAGAGCGGGGCTGGGGCAGGGACCAGGCCAGGACCTGGGGTGCATGGCCATGCTGCGGCCCGAGCCCTGGCAGTGGTGGGGCTGGGGGGGGTTGGACACTTTGGTTCAGCCTGGGCTCTCCGGTGACTCTCCCGGCTGCCTTCCCAGCAGGACTCTGGCCCAGCTCCAGGTGTCATGTGGGAGATAAGGGGACCCTGTCTCCTGGTGGCTTCCGGCGTCCTGGGGGGCCTCACCGCCAGCAGCAGGAGGAGAGAGGACCTGCGCTGCTGGCTGTAAGCCGGACCCCCCTGAACACAGCAGGGACCCCTACCCTGGGAGCTGGGATGTCCCACTTGGCTTGGCTCCGTGTCTGCCGTGCAGCTGCTCGCCCTGCTGGGTGCCCCGAGGACGGCCCCCACCGACATGGCGCTCGCTGCCGGCCCCGCTTCGGTGCTGCTGCTGGGGTGCAGCACTGCGGGGGGGCGCGGGATGGGGAGCAGGGAAATTAAGTGCCTCAGAAAGGGGTGGGTGGTTGGGGGGCACCCCTGGTGCCCTTGGGACACCCCAGGCTGGGTGCATTTTTGGAGGACGTGATCTCTGAGGGCCCAGCCTCCTTTGCAGCACCCATGGGGTCATCCCCATTCCCTTCTGGGGGTGATGGGGACAGAGGGTGAGTCTGGCCTGGTCTTGTCCTTGGAAAGCAGGGAGGAGACTTGCTGCATGGTGCTAGGGATCTCTTGTGTCTTCATGTCGTGTCTTCAGAGCAGGGGTCCGAGTGCAGTATGCCCCCCCTAGGGTGCTGTCTGGCATACTGACCTGCGAGCCCGTCAGGCCTGCACTTCTCCTGCTGCCCCCGTTTCATTTGGGCTGGGGTTGGGAGCTTAGGCTTGCAGTGTCCTGAGCATGGGTTGTCTCAGCAGGATTGGGTCCGTGGCTGGAGCCGCCCCCCCTGCCCTGCTGAGCGCACATGTCCGCCTGCCCATGCCCGGAAGATGA